GTCTCACCTGCATGTTAGTATTGGTATTAGATTTATAGAGATGGATTTAGTGTTTGGAATTTATGAAATGCTTGTGAGTTGCTGCATCCATTAATCTCACTTATAATGTCTAAATCATGTTCTAAGGTAATATTAAGTGTTTGCTATGAAACTGGAAACCCTCAGAGTCAGGAGACAAGCATTATTGAGTGTGAAATACTAGTTCACCACAAGCAGGGCCGGCTCCAGGCACCAGCAAGGGAAGCTGTTGCTTGGGGCAGCCAATGGAAAGGGGTGGCACGTTCGGGTCTTCAGCGGCAATTCGGTTGTGGGTCCCTCTCCCTCTCGGAGGGAAGGACCGGCTGCCGAATTGCCGCCGAAGAATGAAGCGGCACAGTACAGCTGCCGCCGAAGTGCCACCGATCGCGGCTTTATTTATTTATTTATTGCTTCGCCGCTTGGGGCGGCAAAAAAGCTGAGCCGGCCCTGACCACAAGAGAAGTATTCTGCCCAGCAAAGGAAGGCCTGTAGACACCAGACAAACCATTGTGGAACATCAGTGGATAGGGGACTTTGCTCCCCATCACACACATGAAGAGAGGATGTGCACAAACCCTCGTCCCATCACAGTTTGAACTCCGGGGGAAGGGAATAAAATCTCAGAGCTGGAGGTTCTGTATCACTATGGTGCTTTGAATTTGGAGAGGGCAATATTTCTAAAAATAAGCAGGGGATCCCCAAGCTGCTTAGCTTAGCTTAGCCCTAAAGGACCTATGGAGGTTGTACATTACATCAGCTTATTTTTTGAAGCTGAAGACTGTAACTCATTTGTGTGTTTACCTGCTTTAACCCTGTAAATAACTTTTATTTTTCCTAGTTAATAAACTTTTAGTTTTAATATAGGATTGGCTACAAGTGTTGTCTTTAGTGAGAGATCTAAGGTACATTTGACCTGGGGTAAGTAACTGGTCCTTTGGGACTGGGAGTAATCTGAATATTGTTGCAATTTTTGGTGTAAGGGACCATCTACCAGAAAGGCAGGCATGCCTGTGTGGCAAGATAGACTGGAGTGCCTAAGGAGACTGTCTGTGACTCCATCTCAAGGCTGTTATAGTGCTTGAGGAGTTCACACTTGCTACTTTGTTGGTGAAATCTAATCATAGAACGCACAACCAATTGGGGGTTTGTTGCCCTGGTTTGTAATAGTCTGTTCTGAGGTTAGCACCCACGTTCGTGAGCTTGACAGTGGTGCAAATGCATTCTGTGGTGTTAGTCATCCCTACTGGATGTCCTGGTTCACATCACAAGGCCACCAAATAAACAGGTGCCATCTGTTGATTGTTCACTAGGCTAAGGATTCAGATATCAGCCATGTTATAAACAGACTTGTTGTGAGTGTTTGCATGGTGACTGCTCTTGATATGAGGCTCTAGCCAGTACTATCAACTCTCATTTTCAAGATAACCAAATTCACTTCACTTAAAATTCAAAATGAGGAACTAAAAACCTTTCTTTAACTTTAACTTTATTATAGTGCTAGAGTTGCAGTCCCCTCAAATGAGGAACTTGTTCTAGATTAATTTTTCTTAACCACCTCTTATTTAATGTGAATGTCAAAACTACTACCCATCATTAAAGCATTTGCTTTTTTAATAAGTTGAAAAAATACAGTGTTCTGCATAGGGTTATGTATTCAAATAATTTGAATGGAATAGTGTAGATTGATAGGGTGTGGACTTGGTTAGGTATTCTAGCAATTTCCCATTTTTGTAAAGATCATAAAAAGATAAACTTTCTTTTGACCATACAACAGAGAAATTTTTATTCTGTGAATCTGGTAATAAGTTATGCTTCACTGCAATGCTATTATGTACATCTGTTTGAAAATAAAACCCCTTTTAGTCAAAGGGTACTGTCATGTCTTATAAACAACTGTAAATGGAAAAAGACTCTGCCATAACAGATGCAAAACCTGCAGACATATCTCCACTGCTACGATGATCAATACCCCCTACAACGCAGCTTCCAAGATCCACCGGTCCTACACATATCCATAACAAAGTGTGGTATACATCATCCAGAGCACTAAATACCCTAGTAACACTATGTGGGTGGAAATCAGACAGTCCCTACACTCTTGAAAGAACTCCCAGGGAAAAATGATATGGTGTTTTTTGTTTTTTATCACCCGTGGACAAACATTTTTCACAAAACGATCTTACCTCTGTCCTCGTCCTCAAAGGAAACCTGCACAACACTTTCAACAGACGAGTTGGGAGCTTAAATTCATAACTTAGCTAGACATTGAAAATTATGGTTTTACTAAATATGCTGGATTTATGGCTTATTACAATAATCTGAAACCCACGATCCCCCCGCCCCACACCTTGAATGGTGTCTCACAATATGTGGAATTAATTATACTGAACAATCTATTCCATCTTATATTTAGCTGTGATGCTCTTAGTATCTTTCCCAGACCTGAAGAAGAGCTTTCCTCTCTCACCAACAGAAGTTGGTCCAATAAAAGCTATACCTCATCCACCTTGTCCTCTAATATCCTGGGACCAACACAGATACAACAACACTACAAACAACAATGGGAAAAAGTTGTATTACAACACAGTATATGTCTGCACTCCTGTTACAACTATAAAAAGTTCTCCCAAGCATAATTGATGAGCCACTATCTCTTATTGTTCCTTCAGTTCTCTTCGTATGCCGCTGTTTCTGGATGCCTATTATATTGGGTGTAACAAGTTTCTGGTGTTAAGTTCTTCATGTAAGTGGCAAGGCTTTAAATACAGGATGACAAGCATTAAAGTGAATGTGAAAGTCACAAATTCAGGCACCAAAGAGATGATTTTTTAAAATGGGTTGGTTATAAATTGGCCTCCCCTTAGCAAGATACACTATTAGGCCAATATTTATTTCTCTATATACTTGCTTAACTGTGGATTTTTTGGGGGGGGAGGTGGTTCAAGATTTGTTTCTACTGAAGTCTTTAAACCTGTTTGCTAAGAATCCTTTGCTTAATAAGAAACTTGCGAAGTGCTCTTTACTTAAAAAGGTAGCGACATGTAAAGGCCTCATTGTTTGGAGGGTTGTGTGCTGCTAGTGCACTACTATTCCATTTCTACCTAGGCATTCTGAATTAGTTGCAAGATTAGAATGAGAAAACTACAGAAAAGGCCCACACAGACACATATGGCCTTCTAAAGGTTGTTTATCACTGTTTCAGGGTTGGCCAAGTTTAGGGACCTTGGCAAGACTTATGTAGTTGCAAACAAAAAACGTTCCAAAAGCCAAAATGTTATCAGTTGTTCCCATCCTTTACCATTTAGCGTCCTTACTCCCAATCCAACTGTTGGGATATTGTGTTCCTTAGTGAGTGATAACCAGAAACGGGCACTGTGCCTAACAGGAAACACAACTCTTGCATAGCAAGGCCTTGGTTATTCCATTATGTAAATGCCAGAACAACACCTCCCATCTGTTTTGCTCCAATGTATTATAATATAATACTCTAAATATTTAAATTTCCATTTGCAATGAACTGCTACAGTTCTCATAGGAGAACGAGGATATAAGTCAACACTGTTCTTTGTGTGCAACCCTATAGTAATATACTTGTGTGCGTACATGAGAGGGGGAAGATTTCTAGTAAGATAATATGCTTCAGATTCAAACTTCCAAAGGGTGGTCATAAATATGGATAACATTTGAACTCTGTCCTTTAAGCATAGTGATAAACATTAAATGGTGTATGGCTCTTTGAGTGCTGTATCTTTGCCTCAGCTCGTCGTAAATATGTATAGGCATCTTGGTGTATTTTCCCCTACCAGATTGTATTTCCAAACTGCCCTTCTGCAGGGAATCTGTCGATTGTTGTCTTTCACTTTCTTGTTACCAAGATCTGCTGGGATCTGGTCATCTTGTTGTGGCGCAAGCTCAGTCCATTGTTTCTTGCAGTCAGTGTGACTTGTTACTTAGATGTTATCTCTTTGCCACAGGAGCCTTCTTTTTGTTCCATGTGTGCATAGCAGCTACAGCAGTGGGGTCCTGGTCCACAATTGGGGCTCCTAGGTGCTGTGATAATTAAGGCTAAGATTTTGAGTCTCACATTTTTAGTAAAAGTCACAGACAGGTCATGGGCTCCTGTGAATTTTTCTCTTTTGTCTGTGACCTATCCAAGACTTTTATTAAAAATATGCATGACAAAACGGGGAGCTCTGGGATCCCTACACTACCCTGGGGCCCCCAGCTCAGACCTGTGGGGTCCCCCCACTGCCCGTGGCTCCCAGCTTGAGGTATCCCTGCCACCCATGGTGCCTGGGAGCTCCCAGGGCACCCCCGTGACATCTCAGAGTTTGGGGGCCCCCACAGTTCCCAGCCATCACAGGCTGTGGGGGGACCCTGCAGCTCCCAGGTGCCATGAGCTCAAGTCACAGAGGTCTGTGGAAGTCACTGATTTGTAGCCCTAATGATAATTCAAATAAATGACATACTGAAGATGACTCTAGGTTATGGTTAGCAATGGGCAAAAGTAAGTTGCCCAAATCTAGCACCTACTAATATGAAGATGCAGCTGGTTTGTCACCTGACTAATTTAAACTCATGGGGTTAACTCTGACAAGTGTATGTGCATTTGTCCTCTGGCTTGTATCAAAAATTTGGCTCCTGGTGAAACCTTAAAAATATTTGATGTTTGGGATGGAGGGAGAAGACTTGACACTTGTGAAGTTACTGGGTGCTTGGGTTTCAGCAGCTGTGTTTAATAAAATCACCATCCACATAAAACACCAAAATGCTCCTTCTTGGCTTCTAAACTTCCTACAGCTCAGTCAGTCCTGAGCTTAACGGGGCCTTTGGCTTATCAGAGACAAAGTTAATGGTAAATCCAGTTTCTATGAGCTGGGTATGCTGTTCCTCCTTTTCTCTTCGTGCTTCTGAGCATGTGTGTTGACCATGTCATATCTATTGAAAACATAACTGTTAAATATTTGCTTTTCCTCCTTTAGGTTGGGTTGATGTCGACCATGGGATAACAAAGAAAATGCAGCTAATAGCAGAGGCTGAGGTAAATATTTTTTACCATTTACTTGGTGGGGGGGATCCAGACTCCTGGAAAACATGAAACATCTTTTTTGTGTGTGTTTGTCTATTGTTGGTTTAATGCTCTATAATGCCATCATTTCAGACATTACTTAGGAGTAGTGGTTTTACACAAGCCTTTATTCTTCCCTTCTCCCCTCCCTATTCCTATGCCCCCTGTACAGCATCTGTGTCAAAATATTAACTCAGCTGTTTGTTTTTCTTTCTCAGCCTGTGTTGTACTTGGGCCCCAAAAGGTTAATTCTACAAATAAGCATGTGAACTTTGACACCCGTATCCAAATTGACTGGCTTTGGCTGTATTACCCCTTGACAGTATAGCTGGGACTGCTATTTTTGGCAATCTGTAGTTTTAAATGTTTAAAGGAAAAAGTTCCTCCTGGTACCATCCAGTGAATGGGCTACTTGCTGCCTGTATTCTTGCCTGTTGCTATGGAGCCAGTTAAGACACTTTCTCCCACCCTTTTCAACAGGGAGTCCTGCACTCCTTCAGCAGCCACAGGTGACTCTCCTAGTGCAGACAAGGTTGTGTTGTCCATAAATGTGTGTGAGCAGGAGATGCAGACAGTCTGATGTGGGTTCTAATTTCTAGAGAATTTCTTCATTCTTCATGACACCTTTTTTTTTTTTTAAAGGGGATCTACAAGAATATCCCAGCTTCCAACATAATAGTCTGTGAAACTGTAGTGTGGTTTTTAACAGTGACTTAACTCCCTGCATGCTACATCTGGCAGTGTTCTCCTGAGTTATGTGCTTGGTCACTCTACAGTGATATGGGGGTTAAAAATACTACCAATTTCTGGTAGAGTGGGGAAGCAGCTTTTTTCCTCAAGCTGCTTGTCTGCTGAATGCCCTATTTGTCTTTGCCATTTAGAGCATTTGACTTATGTCTGCAGGATGAGATTTTAACACTAGTAGATCACTTTTAAAGGATCACTGTTCAAAGCAATAGGCCCAGAGTTGAACTGCCTCTTAAAGAGAATCACTTTTAAATTCTCTGAGTCTGAAATTTAAAATTCTTCCAATATGAAGGCAACAACATAAAGTAACATCTCAGTTGAGTCATCACAATGACACAACCATGGCTGCTTTTGTTAGGGATGTGGGGGCACAAGCTTGTTTGCATGTCCTGCTCTGATCTTCGAACGGGAAGGCTAACTATCAACACTTAGTCATGTGTTCAGAGAGACTTCTGGCATCCTAGCCTGAATAATATCACTTTTAGTAAACTGTATATTCAGTCAGTGTCTTCTCTAGTGGAAGTGATGTTAGCTTTTGCTCCCAATGGAGGGGTTATGCGGCTTTTACTACCTTAAACGTCTGTAGGGCTTCCTTTTCCTGTCCAAGCATCTTCTGCCTAGAAGGTCTTGAAATGAATATCAGAAAAAAACATGTTTTCTTCGCTTTACTTAAGAATACGTAAAATACTTTGGAACACCAAGGGAAATTCCTTTGCCATCTCCCCTTCCCTGGGCACCAGAAGTGGAATAGAGTCCTTTGACATAGGAATGAATTTTTATACTTGATCAGAACAGAAATTATACACACTTCCACAGTCCTCCTTCCCAAATGGTTTCCCAACTCTCCTAAACAAATATCCATTGGCTTTATTAAACCATTTGTTAAACCTTTTCCCCCCATGGTTGCCATTATTGTTAAGACAAAGAAGGAATTTCCAAACCTTTCCATGCTATTCTGCAAGAGTGCCCTGTACCCATACTAAGTGGGGCAGCATTGAGTTCACTCTTCATCCTAGCAACCAGTTTTCTTTTGTTTGCATGTTCTTCAGGACACACTGTGCCTTACTCACACCTTCTATTAACATCACAAGAGTTCCACAGCAGTGATCTGTAATTTCACAGTCTTACTTGATGCCAGAGAATGAATAACTCTTAGAAGGAAAGGTGAATGCCCTTGCCTCGGAGAAGTCTCATTTCGCAATCTTGGTATTATGGCTAGTGGGTGGTGAACAGTTTCATTATACGATGGGGTAACTAGAGTGGATTTGAAGGCATTGCACAAGAGGGGAAGATGCCTCTATATGCATTTTGGTGCACTAATGTGGCCAAGTTTAGGATTTCAATGAGGTGAACAGTTTTGGTAAGCTTTAAAATGTTCTTGGCAATTGGGAACTCTCCTGACTTAAATTTTATACATACATACACACACACACACAAGAAATCTTTATTAAGCTGACATGTGACATTTTCTGCATTCCATTGGTATCTCACTGAGGCTCTCTTTGTGTGTGTGTGTGTGTGTGTATAATATATATGTAGTGTGTGTGTGTGTATATATATGTGTGTGTG